ATATATACACATACAATGGGGACCTTTGCCAAGCATGCATTTTTCTATTGGCAATAAATAGGACTGTTTATCCCCAAGAGCAGAGCAAGAAGGCTATAGGAGAAATAGCTAGCAAACCTGTACTTTTGATTTTTGTTTTACTGAAGATGTATCTGAACTTTACACAAACAAAGTTAAACTCAAATAAGAAATGCACGTTTAAATTGCACTATTAAAATATACATGATAAATTAAAGTGTGTTTGTTACATTCAGAATGGTGCACCATTACTATCTAATAATAAAACATTGTTGTCACTGTAAACTAAAAGTCTAAGCCTTTCTGACTCCCCATTTTGACAACTCAGCCTACGGCAACTACTAATCTATTTTCTGCATTTATAGTTTCCTCTATCTGGAAATTTCCTGAAAATAGAATTACATAATAAGAGATGACCTCCATTTCAACTCTTTCCAAGGCCATGCTGACCTCATTCTTTGCTGAACTGAATACTATCTTTCTCTCTCTCTCCCTTTCTCTCTCTCTCCCTTTCTCTCTCTCTCTCTCTCTCTCTCTCTCTCTCTCTCTCTCTCTCTCTCTTTCTCTCTCTTTTTTTTTGTTTTTACTTAGTACTTCTCAAAATGCTCATACCATATGCCATTTATTTAAAATATTTTTTCATAATGCATAGACTATTGACAAGCAGGATTGGCTTTTTTTTCCACTTAATAACCTCGTCACTGACTCAGCATCTTGCAGACCCTCTTGTTACTGCTTCAGAGGTCCAGCATAGCAGGTACTTGTGATTCTTGTAGGCAAGCAATACATCAATCAGCAATCTGAATTCTATCCTGTCAGTTTTCATGGCTATTTCAACCTGGCTCTTTCTCCTAAAGATCATTAAAAATATTTTTTCCCAAATGGGGTTTAGCTCTTCACATACAATATTCCTTAGCTGCACTTTTATAAAATGTCATGCCAAGCCAAAAGTTACATAATGAAAGACACCCACATGTGTGATGTTCAGCTTCTGAATGATGTAATCAGGACATATTTTGTGCTCGATGATCTTCACCACGACATCTCTGAAAGCCCGGGTGCCTTCCTCCATGCATGGCCAGTACTCTGCACACTTGTTCTGTGGTTTAAAAAAAAAATCACTCTTGACTCCAAAATATCATAAAACAGTTTCTGCTTACTCCTAAAACATCGACAATCAAAAATCTATTCAACTGATATCCCCCCAAGCATTTGCAAATTATTTTAATAACATGCACTCTGAGCTGAAATATATCCTATTTCCCACTACGGTTTCTGGATGGGTTTGTCTTAGCCAATTAGCAGAAGGACAATCTGCCTGGCCATCAAAGTGAAGATGGTCACTTTCAGGCTCTGGTTTTCACTTCTCTCAACACTGTATTGTGTGGGTGTCCACTGTCTACCCAAGGTCAGTTTGCTGTGATCATTCACAAATAGTTGTGAATTTGGCACGTTGCAATGTACATAACTTACCAATAAAAGCCTCAAAATCAATGCACTTTACTATTACACACACCTCCCCCCCCCCACACACACACACAAACTTTGTATACAGATTTAGGTTTTCTACCTGGATGAAAATGTAGATAAAATGTTAACAAGATTAAAACAAAGAATTGTCTGTATTACTCATATGAGATGAAGCTCAGCATTTCCTTTCCCAAGTTCCAACCTCAGCCTTCTGGGCTCTTACCCTGTTTCCTTCTTCACATCGTGTGACCATGACAATAACTGTGGCTTTTTGTTCCCAGATCATCCTCCAGAAGTCATCCACCGTTTCATCCCGGGGTCCTAGAAGTTAAGTACAAGTTACAAGATGCTTTCTTAGAGATGCTGCAAAACCAGTTTCCAGGATTAACTGCAGGATTTGGAAATAAGTTACCTTGTGCAGCAATGTATTTTCTTGGTTCTTTGAAGCCCTGATCAAAACATACAAAGAAAAGAGAGCATTTATAGAAAACCTGTTCATGCAAAACTCTGAACCACAAGAAGTTGACATGGCTCTATCGTGGTTGTGAACACATCTGGCCATTTCGAGATCATAGTGGGAGCATTTAACGATACAGAGCAGGTTAGTGAGCATTTGCAAACAGCATGCCTGACCTACATAGATGTTTGCCACCATTTATAATTAGACTTCCTCTCCTCTGAGATGGTGAGGAATTAGCAAGATGAGTCCAGACTTTCCCTGTTTATAAACTGCCTGCCCCACAGTATCCTCTGCTATTTAAACCTTTTTACCAGTCATGGAGTTCTTTTTCAGAATTTTATTCAATTTCCTGCAATAAATTCCCCAGGGAACACACCTACACTTCGACTTATTAACTGTTACTGGAACATGCCTGGGATTCCCTGGAGTCCTTTTATATCATTCCAGATATGAAAAATAAAACATTCATTATCTGTAATGACTGCTTACTCTGCTCCACTGACTAAGACAAGGAGGCAGTGCAGACAGAGATAAAATATGCTAATTCCTTGCAAAATACTCTCAAGCACTTTACATTTACCTTAGTAAATAGGGAAATTCCGTAAGAAGAGTTAGTGTTGCTATTGCTTGAAATTTTGCCCATCAGGTATATGAATCCTCATTTAATTTAGTAAGTCTCATGATAGTATCAGTCATTTATTCATAAAGTCTAGGCTTGGTAGCTACAGTTTGTTAAGAGCCTACGTAGGAACTGACAAGATCTGCTTTCCGGATGGTTGGAGCTCAGTTAGAGAAACATAATTATAGCTCAGTCCTATCATTAGCATATATATTTGAACAGAATATGTAGGCTATTTATTTTTAGAGCCTACCTAAAACCTCACAAAATCTCTAACATTGCCGTATCTGCTCTGAGTTACATTCCTTTGAAAGAAAAGACACTTGGAAAATAAATCTGTGTACTCTAAAAAAAAAAAAAAACCTTGGTCACTTGGTCACCATAATTGTTGTGACTGCAGAGATCACTTGCCAAAAATCATTTAAAATGAAGGTGACCAATGACCAATGACTAACTTATTTTGGGAACCAACCTTCACATGTGAAAGTGTTGCTTACTACTGGAAACAAGCTTTACAGAGAATAAGAGTTTATATTATGAAGATCCTTCACAAATTCAGGAAAAAAATGTATCAAATCAGTTAGATATCAGGGCATGGTTTTCAGAAAGAATAAAAAAATATTAGGTACCAAACATATTTGATGAGAGACAGGTATCTTCAGAGACCACCTGGGGATGCAATCCCAGTCCTGATTCTAGAAAAACTGGAACTATTTTACCATGTGTTGTGGGAGTTGAACCATCCCTGCGTCTCAGAGATGAAGCCGACTTGATCATGTGGATGATTGTTCTGATGTGTTCTTGGATTTGATTTGTCAGTATTTTATTTAGTATTTTTGCATCAATGTTCATGAATAAGATTGGTCTGTAATTCTTTTCTTAGTAATGTCTTTCTGTAATTTGGGCATCAGGGTAATTATAGCCTCATAAAAAGTTTGGCAATGTTCCTTTTGTTTCTATTGTGTAGAATAGTTTGAGGAGTATTGCTATTAGTTCTTTGAAAATCTTGTAGAATTCTGAGCTGAAACCATCTTGTTCTGGGTTTTTTTGGTTGGGAGACTTTTGATGACTGTTTCTATTTCTTCAGCAGTTATAGATCTGTTTAATTTTCTTATCTGGTCTTGATTTATTTTGGCAAGTGATATTTTTCCAGAAAATTTTCCATTTCTTTAAGTTTTCAAATTTTGTAGAGTACAGGTTTGCAAAATATGACCTGATGATTCTCTGTATTTCTTTCATGTCTTTTGTTATGTCCCTCTTTTCATTTCTGAATTAGTTAATTTGGATATTCTCTCTCTGTCTTTTGGTTTATTTAATTAATATATGGAAATCACTGAAGATGATGACTGATAAACAGAAAATGCATTTAGCAAGTTGCAGTATGTTACCCAATAGCCATAATCACTTATGTGAATGACTTAACTCTGGAAAGCCATATAATATCTCAAAAAGTGACTTTATTAATGATTAAAACACAGATGTCAAGGGTATATGTATTTATGAGTGATTTAACTAGAAAGTATATCTGAATTAGTTTATTCTCTTATACAGATTTATTTGTAGTTGATCAAATTATTATTCCCAAATTTTATATTTGCCTGGAACCCTAAATGTGCTTTTAAATGAAAGTGGTGTCTTTGCAGATCTGGGAGTTAAAATGATGTCTTAGGATGCAATGACCAGTGTCCATATGAGTGAAAGGGGTGGGTTATGAAAATACGGGAGCTGAAACAGGCAAGAAGGACATGAGGTGGAGGCAGAGACTAGAGAGAGACAGTCATTAGTGAGCAGAAACAAGGATAGATAGAAGCCTCCAGAAGCAAAAGGTGGCCAAATAGGATTTTTCTCCCAGAGAACTTGAGTGAACATGGCTCTACTGATACCTTGCTTTGAAAATTTTAAGTTCAGGAACTCAGAGAATAGAATTATGTTATTTTCCTGGTACTAATTTATAATATTTTCCTATGCCAGATCTCAGAAATGTATATATGTGTGTGTCCACATATGTAAAAGAAACATTACTAAAGCTTAAATCGCATATCAAACCCCACACATTAATAGTAGGAGACATTGGGCAACAATAGGCAGGTCAACCAGACAGAAACTTAACAGAGAAAGAAGAGAACTAGCAGATGTAATGACTCAAATGGACTTAACAGACATCTACAGAGCATTCCACCCAAAAGAATATATCTTTTTCTTAGCACCCCATGGAACCTTCTCTAAAACTGACCACATACTCAGTAACAAAGCAAACGCCAACAGATACCAAAAAATAAAATGGAATAACCCCCTGTAACCTATCAGATCACCATGGTTTAGAGTTAGAATTTAACACCAACACTAAATGCAGAAAGTCTACAAACTAATGAAAATTAATCAGTGGTCAATTGAACCTACCCTGGGTCAAGAAAGAAAGAAAGAAAGAAAGAGAGAGAGAGAGAGAGAGAGAGAGAGAGAGAGAGAGAAAACTTTCTAGAATTAAATGACAATGAAGACAATATACTCAAACCTATGGGACACTATGAAAGCAGTGCTAAGAGGAAAGTTCATAACTAAGGGCCTACAAAAAAGGAGAGAAATCTCACTCTAGTGACTTAACAGCAACCTTGAAAGCTCTAGAACAAAAAGAAGCAGACTCACCCAGGAGGAGTAGATGACAGGAAATAATCAAATTGAGGGCTAAAATCAATAAAATAGAAATAAAAAAAACAATACAAAGAATCAAGGAAACTAAGAACTGGTTCTTTGAGAAAATCAACAAGATAGGCAAACCCTTGTCCAAACTAATCAAAAGGCAGAGAGAGAGAACATCTAAATTAACAAAATCAGAAATGAAAAGGAGATATAACAACAGAAAGTGAAGAAATCCAGAGAATCATTAGGTCATACTACAAAAACCTGTATTCTACACAATTGAAAAATGTAAAAGAAACAGAGAATTTTCTGGATAGGTACCACATACAAAAATTTAATAAAGACCAGGTGAACAATTTAAATAGACCTATAACCTGCAAGGAAATGAAAGCAGTAATCAAAAGCTTCCCAAGCAAAAAAAGCCCAGGGCCAGAAGATTTCAGTGCAGAATTCTACCAGAACTTCATAGAAGAGCTAATACCTATACTCCTCAAAGTGTTATACATAATAGAAAGAGAAGGAACATTGACAAATTCTTTTTGTGAGGCTACAGTTACTCTGATATCAAAACTACACAAAGACGCGACCAAGAAAGAGAATTAGAGATCAATCTCAGTCATGAACATTCTCAATAAAATACTGGCAAACCGAATCCAAAAACACATCAAAAAAAATCATTCACTGTGATCAAGTTGGTTTCATTCCAGACATGCAGGGATGGTTCAACATACAAAAATCTATCAATGTAATCCACCATATAAATAAACTGAAAGAAGAAAACCTTATGATCATCTCAATAGTTGCTAAAGAAAAAAAAAGCATTCAACAATATCCAACACCTCTTCTGATAAAGGTCTTGGAGAGATCAGGAATACAAGAACATATCTAAACATAATAAAAGCAATATACAGCAAGCCAGAAGCCAACATCAAATTAAAAGGTGAGAAAATTAATTCAATTCTACTAAAACCAGGAATAAGAGAAAGCTGTCCACTTTCTCCATATCTATCCAATATAGTTTTTGAAGTTCTGGATAGAGCAATAAGACAACAAAAGAAGATCAAGGAGATTCAGATTTGAATGAAAGAAGTCAAACTTTTGCTATTTACAGATGATATGATAGTGTATATAAGTGACCCCAAAAAATTCTAGCGGGGAACCCTTACAGTTGAAAAATACCTTCAGTAATGCGGTAATGTACAAGATCAATTCAAAAAATTCTGATGGAAGAAGGTCATTGGTTAATAAGAAACTGCCTTGGCCCTTTTGATAGGACAGCAGCTTACATAGGCAGAGTAGACAGAACAGAATGCTGGGAGAAAGAAGCTGAGTCAGGCAGTTGCCATGATTCTCCCACTCCAGACAGACACAGGTTAAGATCTTTCCTGGTAAGCCAGCTCGTGGTGCTACACAGAATATTAGAAATGGGTTAGATCATTTCTAGAAATAGAGCTAGCCAATAAGAGGTTAAAACTAATGGGCCAAGCAGTGTTTAAAAGAATACAGTTTCCGTGTAATTATTTCTGGTAAAGCTAGCCAGGTGGCGGAAAGCGGCTCGCCGCTCCTCCACAACAAAATTCAGTAGCCCTTCTATATACCAATGATAAAGAAGCTGAGAAGGAAATCAGAGAAGCATCACCCTTCACAATAGCCACAAATAATATAAAATATCTTGGGTAACACTAACCAAAGAAGTGAAAGGCCTGTTCAACAAGAACTTTAAGTCGTTGAAGAAAGAAACTGAATAAGTTGCCATAAAATGGAAAGATCTCCCATGCTCTTGGATAGGTAGGAACAACATAATAAAAATTCCTACCAAAAGCAATCAATAGATTTAATGCAATCCCCATCAAAATTCCAAGACAATTTTTCACAGACCTTGAAAGAACAATAATCAAGTTATATGGATCACAAAAAAACCTAGGATAGCCAAAACAACCCTGAAACTTATCCAAAACACTAAAGGAACATCCAGAGGATTCACAGTCCCTGACATCTAGCTCTATTATAGAGCTACAGTAATGAAAATAGCTTGGTATTGGCATAAAAACAGAGATGTTAACCAAAGAAATCAAATCAAAGACCTGGATTTTAATCCACACACCTATGAACACCTGATTTTTGACAAAGAAGTTAAAATTATACAATGGAAAATATAGCATTTTCAAATGGTGCTGGCATAACTGGATGTCAACATGTAGATAAATGGAAAAGATTTATATCTATCTCCGTGCACAAAACACAAGTCCAAATGCTTTAAAAAACCTCAATATAAATCCTACCACACCGAAACTGACAGAAGAGAAACCGGAAAGTAGCCTTCAATACATGGGTACAGGTGACTACTTCTTATATATAACACCAGTAGCACAGACAATGAGAACAACAAAAAAATAAATGGGACCTCTTGAAACTGAGAAGCTTCTGCAAAGCAAAGGACACATTCAATAAGACAAAAAAAAGACAGCCAACTGAATGAGAAAATATCTTTACCAACCTTACATCAGACAGAGGACTGATCTCCAAAATATATGAAGAACTCAAGAAATTAGACATCAAAATATCAGATAATCCAATTTTAAAAATGGGGTACAGAACTAAACAGAGAATTCTCAATATAAGAATCTCAAATAGCCCAAAGACACTTAAATTAATGTTCCACATCCTTAGCCATCAGGGAAATGCAAATCAAAACAATTCTAAGACACCATCTTATGCCAGTCAGAATGGTTAATATAAAAACACCAACGATAGTTTATGCTGGAGAGAATGTGGAGTAAGGGGAATACACCTCCATTGCTGATGGGAATGCAAACTTGAAAATTCACTCTGGAACTCAGTATGGCAGTTTCTCAGAAAATTGGGGATCAACCTATCTCACAATCCAACAGTATCACTCTTGGGCATATACCCAAGGTATGCCCAATCATATTACAAGGACATCTGTTCAACTATGTTCATAGCAACATTATTTGTAATAATCAGAACCTGGAAACAACCTAGAAACCCCTCAAACAAACAATGGATAAAGAAAATGTGGTACATTTACACAATGGAGTACTATTCAGCAGTAAAACACAATATCTTAAAATTTGCAAGGAAATGGATGGAACTAGAAAAAAAATCCTGAGTGAGCTAACCCAGACCCAGAAAGATGAACCTGGTATGTACTCACTCATAAGTGGTTACTAGCTGTAAAGCAAAAGATAATGAGCCTATAGTCCATGAGCCTAGAGAAGCTAAGTAACAAGATGAACCCTAAGAAAAACATATGTGGATTCGCCTGTGAAGGGGAAATAGAGAGGATCTCCTGACAAAATTGGGAGCATGGGGATGGGAGGAGAGGGGAGGTGGGAATGGAGGAGGAGGGGAGAAGAAGAGAATTTGAGGGAATGCGACAGTTGAGATGGAAGAGGGACAGAGACGGAGAGCAAGAAAGAGATATTTTGATTGAGGGAGACATTGTGGGGCTGGCAATAAACCTGGCACTAGAGAAATTCCCAAGAATCCACAAGAATGACCCCAGCAAAGACTAAGCAATTGAGGAGAGGGGGCCCAAACTGGCCTTGCCCTGTAGTCAGATTGATGAGTATCTCAAATATCACAATACAACCTTCATCCTGCAACTGATAGAAATGGAGGCAGGGACCCAGAGCAGAGCACTGGGCTGAGCTCCCAAAGTCCAGTTTGAAGATGGGGAGGAATGAGAGTATGAGCAGAGAGGTCTGGATCATGATGGAGACATCAAGCAGCTTGCCTGAGCTGATAGGAGCTCACCAACTCTGGCCAGACAGGGAAGAAACCAGCATAGGACCAAACTGAACTCTCTGAGTGTGAATGACAGATGTATGGTTGGGGCAGTCTGCTGGGCCACTGGCAGTGACACAAGGATTTATCACTTTTTGGCTTTTTGGGAACCCATTCTTTTTGGATGGATACCTTGCTCAACCTAGATATAGTAGGAAGGACCTTGGACCTTTCCCAAAGCAGTGTGCCTTGCCCTCTCTCGGGGGACAGGGTGGAAGAAATGGGAGGAGGGGAGGAAGTGGGAACTAGTATTTGTGTATAAAATAAAGAATAAGATGGCTTGTTTTCTTTAAAAAAAATAAAAAAAAACTATGAATCCATGAGGACTCACCTCTACCCAGAAGAAAAAACTCGGTAGAGTGGGTAAGGAGATGTTCTCAGCCATACATATGTGTTTCCCAACAGTGTAAAATTCTTTAGCTCACAGGAAGCAAGCTTAATTGAAAATTATATAAGCCAAATTTGTAAGTGTTTTAATAAATTCTGTCTAGATATTTTCAATTTGGATAACTACACAGGAGATGAGCAACATCAGTGGAGAAAGCAGCTACTACAGTGCCTTGTAGAACAGAAGCACAACAGTTTGGAGTCAAGCAGACCTGAACTGCAGCTCAGTTAAAACCTTTACCAATTTCAATAGTGTCTTAATAACTAAAGAACCCGGGCTTCCCATCCTCATCTATCTAGAGGGCATAGTGTACTCAGATGAAGAAATGCAGAGTTCTTATGAGAAATGTGTACAGAGAGTTTAACGCACAGCAAAGAGCAGGTTTTAATCTTGGCTAAGAAGAAGCACTATTTACTTCTAGCACCAGCAAGCATATACATAACTATTTTTGCAAACATTAATGTTTTTATTGTAGGTGTCAGTGTTGTTACGGGTTTAACTGAAAATATTTCTAAGAACTTCCCTAAAGTTTTCCAGAAACAGTGAAGGAACTCACTGGAACACATACATACAAAGAAAATGAACATTTCCAGCAGCCAAAAGAGGCTATAAGGTAATAGCATATTTACTCACGTCAATGTAGCTGGCATTTATGTAGGTGGACCCTGCATCTCCATTTATTTCAGAGAGTTCAACACGGTTGTAATCATCTGTTTAAAGAGAAGAACACTTCAATATTGAAATACCGAGTAGTCATGCTGTGTCAGCGTACCGAAGCTCAGTTCCCTACGTGCACTCACAGGGAAGGATGTCAACATAACGGTTCTTATTCTGGTTGTGGGGTTTCCGGGCATCTTTGATAGAAAACTTGCTGAATACCCGTGGAATGCTCTGAAAGACACAAGGATTCTTGGGGTTACAGAAGATTCTGAAAAGAAGACGGAGAAGGAGGAAGAAGGAGATGAAAATAGAGGGAGGAAGGGAGAAAGGGGGGAGGGAGGGAGGGAGGGAGGGAGGGAGGGAGGGAGGGAAGGAAAGAGGGATGGAGGAAGGGATGGATGTTAAGTTAGTTTCTCCTTTGCCAGTTGTCACTGGAGCTACATGAGGTAACTTATAAATAAATCCTTTCTACTGACAAACATACTAAATAAAGTAGCTGAAATTAATTTTATTATGTATTTTTCAAAAAGCCCACATCTTTCCTATAAAATTAATGACAGATAAATTAAATTAAAAAATAATTTCAGAAAAATGTCTTAATCCTACATTAAAAATATACAATAATCAATGTGACACTCAAAACTTTAGTTCATGACTGATCATTAGATAGCCATATAGAACATAAGAACAAAATGAGCCCAATATGTTTTGTGACAGGATTTCATAATCAGTTACAATGCACTAAAACATTATACTATGATGTTTACTAGTTTTATATTGTGAATGATCTTGCACCCTTAATGAGTCTCTCATCTGTAAATATTGCAGTAACTTATGTCTGTATTGTATTACTGTGTTCTGTGGATAAATTATTAAGGCAAATGGTTGTGTAAATATACTTAACATGTAATCATCTTGATGACTACGTGGAATTTCTTACTCTGTACGATGGTGACACATACCTGAAATTCAGCCAGAAACAGTCTTCCCTCATCAGCAATCTTTCTTTTATACGTTTCCAACAAAACATCAGCATGAATTGGCTCCACATCCATCAGTTGCTTTTCCTCATCTATAAACAAGTTAGATTCAAGACCAGTGTTGTGTCTGTCTCTCAGATAAGCACACATTAATAGAATTTACAGCTTGAACTTAATCCTTAACAATTTTCTTCTCTTCATCTTTGTGGTAAATTTCATTCCCATGGAAGTGTTTGCTTATAAATTAATGGCTTTTAAATCTTGCACGTAAATCATTTTCTGACTTTGTACTATTCTCTTTACTAGAATGAGCTTCTCCTTTTCCTATGCCTAGGTAAAAGGCCCCTAAAAATTTTTCACTATTGTTAGACATCCATGATTTTGACTGGTTACATGGAATGGATATTAATTGACATTTTTCTATATTCCATTATTATGATTTTTCTCATCAACATGCTAAAAAGATATTCACCTAGCAGCTCTATCCCCATCCTCCATTTTTAACTTTTGTGCATTATTACAATTATACGGATGATAAGAGAAAGTGATTAATATTTTTCTCTTCATCATTCATCTTAATTTTGTTACAGTATATTATCAAACATATTATATTCATCTTTTGTATCTCAAGAATACTTAAAAATACCTTGTGAAAAAAACTTTTTATGATTTAAAGAGTGTAGATGGGTAATTTTTATTTTTAAGTTTTCTTATGGTTTTCCTGGAATTGGGTTTCTGGAATAAAGTTTGCTTCTGGTTTATTCGACTTTGGTGGTTTGTGTGACCTCCCCTGTACCCAACATCTTAAGTAGTGGAAATAAGCTATTTTAATTTTTGTAAACATAGTCTAAACATCTTTAATGGTTTTTTCCTGGTTCTGTCTTTAAAGCATAAAGAAATTTTATAAAGACTGGAAGAAGGAATGGCCGTATTTTATATATCGTCCATCTTATTTATCATTGTGCCTTCAGTGGGAGGATCCACCATCCCACTCTGGCAGAACCTGAAGTGATTCCACATCATTTCCTCACTATAGAATATCATCTGCTCTCCCATTCTTCCTTCTTTGCTAGTTTGTCTGAGGTTTCCCAGCAGTCTTGGGCAACTGAATTCCTGCACCCTCCACAGGCAACTTTCTATCATTTATCTTTATACAGAACTATGCACATTACCCAGCTTAACGTTTACCAGACTCTTCCTACTCATCAATAGACCTGGCTTCTTCTATTAGAAATCCAAACCTTAAAGGGCAGAGACCATGGCCTGTCACTATGGTCCTCTCAGTGCCATGGATAATATTTGTGATACCTTGAGGACTTCACATAGACGGCTACTTTTGCAGAAACATAAATTTGCTTCAGAATTTGTCAGTGGACAAATTTCAGGTTTGATTTTCTAATATGCACAGCTCTTATTTAAAATAAGAGATTGTAAATTTAGAAAATAAATCTCAATGGTAAAAATTATTTATACTCACCCCTTGTAACAAGTTCTTGTTGTTCATCTAAATTGCTGTGAAAATAAGAAACATGGAATTCACTCGAAGATCAACTTAACTGAGCAAACACTGTTTTATTGATGTAGTGAGTGACAGGAAAAATAGAGGTAAGGAGAAGAGAAAAGGGGGTAGGGAAATTAGGAAAGGGGGGAAAAGAAAAGGATGTAAAGTGGGAGAGATAAAACAAGAATTTGGGGAGACTGAAGAAAGCAAGTGAGGGGAGAGAAAGTAACCAAGGGTTGCTTATAAATTTCAGAAGGATGAGAATGAGTCAAGAGAGTCCTTCTAGTTTTCAGAAATATTTATCTTCTTGGGCAAAAAAAAAAAAAAAAATGAATACACTTCCCAGAATGTCCCTCCTTTTGCATTTGATGTCCTCAGATTACTTTCATCTACTGAGAATTAAAAGAGAAGGTATACCTTCTTTCTTCTGATTAGTATCAAAACAGGCCTACAATATCATTAGCAAATGTAGTGAGTATAAGTACTTGCAGTTAGCCAATAATTCCATGTGAAGTCATGAACTGAAGTCTTCTCTCATTGCTTGGTCAATGCATTTTGTATTTTTTTTTTTTGTCTTTTCTTTTGCTTTTTTTTTTTTTTTTTTTTTGAGCAGAAGGAGAGAGAGCACGAGCAAGGAACTCAGGACCATGAGGGGTGCACCCACACACTGAGACAATGGGGATGTTCTATTGGGAACTCACCAAGGCCAGCTGGCCTGCGTCTGAAAAAGCCTGGGATAAACCCGGACTCGCTGAACATAGTGGACAATGAGGACTACTGAGAACTCAAGAACAATGGCAATGGGTTTTTGATCCTACTCCACGTACTGGTCAATGCATTTTGGACAACAGCTTGTGACATTATTACAACCACTATTACCTCCTAATTCAACATTGTCTCTTACCTGGATCTTTTCCTACGCAGATCATAGATTTTATACAGAACAACAAGCAGGGCTATTGCTGTCACAACAATCAGAAATATCAGGAATGTAATCAGTGCTTTAGAATTATCTAGAAATAAAAAGTGACACACAAGAACTTATTAGGTCAAGTACTTTGCTAGACAGTGTGACTGACCTTCATGAACTAGAATTTTAGTATTTTTCATTTATGGTAAAGATTCAAAGCTAAAATTTTAGAATAAGATAAAATACATTAGATAGAGTCTTGCTTGTGCAGTGATGGGCTCTGTTATTTCAACATTCCCAAGGCATTTATATTTAAAGAGACTAATTAGAATATAGATGAGCACTTGCATTGCTTCTCATTAAATACTGTACTTTTGTAGAAAACTATCATTTAGATTTAATTCCCTTTCACAGTCTCATTTTAAAGGGATCAATGAGGTAATGTAGTTATTACAGCTTTCAGAAAGAAACTCCTAGTTTACCATTGAGCACAGAAGTGGGGAGCCTCCTAAGGGATTCATACAAGCTTCTACCCCAGAAAGATAAATCTCTTTCGTGCTCATTGGGGAATAGAACCAATTAACCAAGAGACAAAATTTATTTCATTTGACAGGGAGGATTAACACTTTCCCTAGTTTGAGTTTTCACAAAGAATCAATGTGAACCACACGCCTACGGCAAGCAGGATTGGCATCTTTACCCTGGGTCACTTGCCATCCTTTTCATGCCCACAATGGAAAGATAATAAACCCATGCAGTGACATCAAGCTTTGAGTCCTGGAGACAGGCTGTTGGGCTTCCATCTTAGTTCTTACTTCCTGGAAAGGAATTTGGCCAGAATCCTATTATCTTTGCACCTTAGTTTTTTAATTCCTAAAATGAGGCTAAATGGTGTAATTCCCGTAAATGATAGACTGTGAATAGTGTAGAGAAAAGTGGCTATCCACAATTTTCCAGGCCCCAATTTTAATGCTTTATTGTCTATAATGATACTGTAGACACGTAAGGTATCTTAGAAAATGAAATGTCATCAGCACACACACACCAGTAGCACAAATATATGTTGAACATCACAGATTAGAAAGCAGTCCCATTTAAAAGAACTACCAAAAATATCTGTCAGCGCAAATAAATATTCTAAAAATTTATAGTAAAGACATTCATTTAGTGACTAAATTATCAAATCTATTAATTTCATTTTATGACACTGTATTTTAATGTCTTTACTTGGATTTTTTAAACTTGCAGGTATTTATATAATGTGTATAAGCAACTAAGGAGTCAGTCTATAGATGCAAAATAGCACACCTTTGCTCAAACAAATGCATACAGATAGAGGTGGGAAAAAATAGGGCAGGATGACTTACAAGATGTTGATTCAGTGTCAACAATTGCTTCTCCCTGATACTCTCCATTGAAAAAGGAGACCTAAATTTCAGTTAAAACGAAAAAAGAAAGAGAAAGAAATTCAATTTTCTCTATAAGTGTTCATGGCATGTTATAAAATGTACATTATTTCTCATAAATGCTGCTTGTTTTCATTAAAACCTCCTGAGTAAAAGCTGAGACTTTACAGTTATTTCATTGTACACAGTCAAAGAGTTTGAAAGGGGTTGACCTCCCTTAGGAATGGCATCAATAACAAATGGAAATGGAAGAACACAGTCCAAGAAATGAAACCAGAAGGAATGATTTAAAGTTATAGTAAATAGACAAAAATAACATTGTCTATTAATATGCTAGCAGGCTCAAGTTTATTTTTAAAGTAAATCTTTATTTACAAGAATGGGGTGTAGAATATGCATGTTTTTGAAGGTAAAGACATGGACAAATTGCAATGTGGAAATACTTAGCATAAACACCTAGAGCTCATAAAATTTAATACAAATAAAGAAAATCAGCTTGATCTAAACAGAAACTGAAAGGGGTGCTGAAACAAGACTACTGATGCCACATAAATTATGCAAAAATATGTCTGAATGACACCATTACAATGAGCTGACATGATGTGACAACCATGGCAATCATTCACAGAAGCCTTCACTCTCTATATATGTGAATATAGGATTTCCCAGTATCCATAAACCAGATTGTGTCAATTACCTTTTATAAAGTAATATAATTCACAGCAATATAATTTTAAACTCCACAGATATAGATATAGTACAGATAAAACTGCTTGCTCCACAAGCCTGACAACCTGAATTCAATCCCTTGAGCCCATGGTAGAAGGAGAGAATTGACTTCCCAGACATGTCCTCTAACTTCCCTGTATGTGCACTATAGCATATAGTGGCCACGTCCACATATGCATGTGCCTTCATTAGACAAACTAAAACTGATGAAGAAAATCTCCTCCAAGGAATGGGATCATCGCTGTGATTCACCTGAGCACATGACCTCACTTCTATGGAAATAGTTTGTGAGAAGATAGAAGAGTTTGGAGATTCATTCTAAAGATGGCTGAGGATGCTTTAAGAAGAACATAATACATAATTCTTGTAGGAATCAGAAGACCAGAGTGCCAAGAGAATGGCAAATAGTAAATGCCCAGCTCATGGTGTTACAAGACTTGTAGGGAACCAAGACTGAATGTATCAGCTACATAATACATTTTGGCAAAGAATCTGGCTGTATTCAGTCTGTAGCTGAGAAACTGAGCAGTAGTGAACTAAAAAGAAATGGATTCATCTCTTCTGTGGAGGAAATCTCATGGTAGCACAGTGTTCAGGCTGTAGGAGGGCTACTGCTTACTGCTCTCATTCAGCAATTCAGAGAGAAAGAGGAGAAACACGAAAATGTGAAGTTCGGTGGAGAAAATATGTGAGCAAGTGTAAAGGGGGAGATCGTACTCAGTGGAAGATAATAGATTCAAAGTTATACACTTGGGTGTCAAATTCACAAAGAGACTTATGAGGGTTAATACTGATTATTGCTTTGACAGATCTAGAATCACCTAAGAAATATATTCCTAGGCATGTCTGTGAGGAAGTAAAGTTAACTAAACAGAGAAAACCAACCCAAAATACAGCAACATAGACCTACCAGGTAGAGGGTCCTAAATGGAACAATTATAAGAGAGCAACCTGAGCACCAAAATTCATCTCCTTCTGCTTTCAGAATCCAGGTACAATGCAACCAGTTCTATCAGGTTCCTGACATAATGCCTTCCCTCAAACTAGAAGTCAAAGAAAGACTATCCTTCTTTAAGTTGATCTCCTCATGTATTGAGCAGAAAGTATTAAAGACTTTAAAGAAAGTTGCTATTTACTGAAAAACATGTTTACTGAATTCTGTGTATATTAGAGTTCAATATAGTTATCATTCATAGAATATGATAAAACCATATGATAGAACCCCATGCCACTATCGGAAGTTAAGTAACAAAAATGGGGAAAGGCGAGCATAATGAAATAATACAGAAAAAAAAATTGCTGAACTTTCTTAGAAATGGTGATTTTATCTAATGCATAGAAATTTTCATTACAAACAACAGAAAGATCTTATAATGCCCAGTCCGTGGTGAAATTATAGATATTTAAAGATTCCTGGCATTTATTTTATGTTCGAATGTTTTCTTGAATTTGTTTCTGGTATTTTTTTAATTTCAAAGCACACATAAAATTTTGCAGCTGAAAACAATAAAAATAAATAATTAGCAAAGTAAAGATATGCTACCCATGAATTGTCTCCTACCAGATGATAGGGGAGGTCCTTCTGTGTATGTGTTGCTTTTATTGGTTAATGAATAAAGAAACTGCCTTGGCCTGTTGATAGGGCAGAACTTAGGTAGGTGGGGAAAACTGGACTGAATGCTGGGAGAAGGAAGGTAGAGAGAGAGAAGACATAGTGCCATTGCCTGAGACAGAAGTGTTGAAACCTTGCCGGTAGGTCACAACCTCCTGGTAATACACAGATTACTAGTGATGTGTTAAATTAAGATGTAAGAGCTAGCAAATAAAAATTAGAGCTAATGGGCCAAGCAGTGATTTAATCAATATCTGTATCTGTGTGGTTATTTTGGGTCTAAGCTAGCTGGGTGGCAGGGAAAAACAAATGGCTCCCTCCAACAACCGGGCACACAAGCAATAACTTCCCAACAGTTGTCATTTTGAAGTTGCAAATACTCTAATAAAATTTTGCCTTAAAACCTTGCTTTTCATTCCAGAGATAAAATGCCTGGCATCAAATTTTGGAATGTTCTAAAGTGCTGATTTCACAAGTTATCGGAGATCTTTAAGTTCATATGAGCTTGACCTCAATGCCATGTAAGTGCTAAGGCTGAAACACTGTGCTACAGCTGGGGGAAGCAGTGATGATGGAAAACAGGAGCTTACCCGAAATGTATAGTCAGTTGAATAGTAGAGATCCTTTACGTCAAATCTGCATGTGGTTTCGTTGAAAGTCTTAGCTAAAGAACCTTTACTTTTGACTTCCAAAATGTAAAATTTCCTGGGGCCATTAATTTCATGGGGAGGTTCACATGTGACGCGTATAGCATTATCTGACATCCGGATGGCTTTCACTTTATTGACCTTGCTTGGCCCTATCAAAATAAAGAAATGTGTGTTATCTTAATTGTTCGATATGCGAGAATTTTAATAACTTGAAACATGAGTACAATGTAAATAAGTTTAAATGTTGGTCTGCACATGAGAACACAGATTCAAAATCTATGTCAAAAATCTAAAAAATAAATCACCTCTTCAGTAAGTATTAATATATAAAAGCTTGCTGGAAGTCTTGAGAATATGCACAATCCCTGAAGTACAGGATGCGGAACTAAATAGCACTGCAAAGTGAGAAGGAGGCAGGGCAAGGAAGGATGACAGAGAAACATGTATAAGTCCCCTCTCCACCCCAGGCCCTCTTTTTCTCATGAGTCTTCTACTCAGCCAGGTAAGATTCCTGAAGCAACAAACCACTTTCATTTGCTTTGACATCCCAGAAACCTGGGAAGGCAACAGTACCATACAGATGTAGGACTTGGAAATGTTTCAATATTTTTATTAATTCTTTGAGAATTTCATACAAAGTATGTTTGAGCCTATTCATACATGTATGCCCCAGCTCCTCCTCTAACCATCTGCTCTGCACTGTCACCCTTCTCTATTCAGCTTTGAGTTTTACTCCTCTTCTTCTTGCCCCCATTAAGCTAGTTCTTGGACTTGGAGCCTGTCCTAATGTGTGGTCAGCCTATCAAGGTTGACACTATTAAAGAAAGCTGACTCTCTTCTAGTAGTATCAAATGCCAACAGTTCCTGAGCTAGGGATGGGATCATGTGCACACTTTTCCTCTCTCTGCCAGGATTTTAGGATTTGGACATGGGCCTAAGTGACATGGAGATTTTTTTTCTCCAGGAATCTGGAGCTCATTAGGTCCTACAACCATAGCTCCTACCCTACCCCCAGACTCTTTCCTCTTCCCTGCTCCTAATTGAAATTAGCAGTTACTCTGGACACTAATTTTGTTTTGTTTCTGTGAACTATGTGAACACAGCTCTAGAAGCAAGACCGTTGAAATTCCCAGTGTACAACACGACATAAATAAAGGCTGCGTATTGTGAAATGTTCTGTCATGTGAATAGGAGCCAGGGCTCTGTAGGGCATCGTAAGTATCTCAGTGCACTTCATGTTTCTAGATAGGAAAATGAGAATTTGTAATCTAAGTTGCTGGGGGTCTTATGTGCTTCAAGTCTTACAAAGCACACTGGCTGATGATGCCCCCAGCTTTCTTCCTTCAACCCTGTGACTTTATCTGATAAGGATAGTGAACCATGATTACCAGATTTTAGATAGTTTTTCTAATATTATTTAAAATCTTAGATGCTGGGGGGGAGAAGGAAGGATAGAAGGGGAAGAGGAGAGGAGAAGGGGATAGTTGAGGAGAACTTGAGGGAATGATATAGTCAAGATGGAGGAAGGACAGAGATGAGAGCAAGGAAAGAGATATCTTGATTGAGGGAGTCATGAGGTTAGCAGAAACCTGACTCTAGAGAAATTTCCAGGAATCCACAAGAATGACCTCAGCTAAGACCCTAAGCAATTGAGGAGAGGGGGCCCGATCTTGACTTGCCCTGTAATCTGTCTTATGAATATCTTAAATATCACCATAGAACCTTTGTCCAGGAACTGATTGAAATAGAGGCAGAGACCCACATCGGAGCACTGGACTGAGCTCCCAAAGTCCAGTTGAAGAGTGGAAGAAATGAAAATATGAGCAAAGAGGTCAAGACCATGATGGGTTCACCCACTGAAACAGTCTACCTGAGCTAATAGGAGCTCACCAACTCCAGCTAGACTGGGAAGAAACAAGCATAGGACCAAACAAGTCCCTCTGAATGTGGTTGACAGTTGCATGGCTGGGGCAGACTGAGGGGCCGCTGGCACCAGGGCAATGACACCAGCATTTATCCCTACTGCATGTACTGGCTTTTTCGGATCCTATTTTCCTTGGATGTATACCTTGCTCAGCCTAGATATAGTAGGGAGGGCCTTGGACCTTCCCCAAAGCAATGTGCCTTACCCTCTCTGTGGATTAGATGAGGGTGGGGTGGGAGGGTATGTGGAGAGAATGGGAGAAGGGAAGGGAGTGGGGAACTTGGATTGGTATTTTTTAAAAAAAATCTAATAAATTTTTTAAAAGAATCTTAGATGCCAACAAACTTGCCAAGCTGATGTATTTCTCAAACAATGTAGAAAGATCAGTGAATTGTACATGAAAATGAGATTTGTTGTTCTTTACCATTCATAGAAGCAACATTAAAGCAAAGCACTTACGAGCTGCTTTTGTCTGGAAGAAGCATTGCTCAGCACTCCCATTGCGTTGCACCCTGCCGTTGACATAGGCGTGGAGCGACACTCTATAGTATGTATAAGGTTTCAGCTGGATCACTTCAGCATGGCTCTCAGTCCCTTCCAGTTTTTCACATTTTTCTAAAATTAAAAAGAAAAAAAAGAGAATTTAGTAAGATTCTGGAAGCCAGGATCCCTATGCATTGAACTTGATTTTTACATGATATCATTCCAAGGAGACTCCAAATATTGAGTGAATTTATATATGAAGACAAGTGCCACATGTTGTCTCTCACCTGTGTTCCCAGCTCCAAATCTTTAGATGTGAGTATATGACCTGGAGTAATTTCAGAAATGAGGAAAGCACAGAGGAACTGGGGAGAGGGTTCTAGAGAGGGACAGCAGGATATAGGTGATATGAAATGGAACATGAGAGATGTGAAGGGGGCTTTAATGGGGAAGGGAGAACAACACAGAAAAGGAGAAAGAAACAGAAAAGAGGGAAGGGGACATGAACCATTAAGGATTCTTGAAGAAGACATTTATTATTATCATTATTTTATATTTACCCATATGTGGTAAATATGTTGAAGGTATGATCCTATTGCTAATGACACTACATAATTCGTTGTGTCCTGAGAATGAGGGAAGACTTGGTGAGGAGTCAGAGCACTTAAGCTAGAATTGACCTGGAAACCTCCTCCCTGAGAACTAGCTTTCGTAGTACCAGAAGATGACATGTTTTATATTTATTTTATACAGACTAACAAGGAATGAACTGATAATTTCCAGACTTGATCTCTAAAGGTGTCTTCATGGGCATTATTTCAAACAGTGTAGACGTGGGTGTCCTGAGAGGATTATCGAAAACATACAGATATCCAAGGGACATTGCAATGTCAAAAGAGACAAATAAAAAGTCATATTTAAAGGATATACACAATGATTCCTAACATCATCAGAGTTTCTTTTTTTTTTTTCTTTTTCTTTCTTTTGTGTGTGTGTGTGTGTGTGGATTTTCGAAACAGGGCTTCTCTTTAGTTTTGGGTACCTGTCCTGGAACTAGCTCTTGTAGACCATGCTAGTTTCAAAATGTTTTTAATAGCTCTTAAAAAAAAACAATCCTTTAAATGCACAAAGTTGAAAATGTGTCTTCCTCAATGACTGGGGGGGAGGGCTTCCTGTCATGTGGTGCCATTAAGTTGATGACACAAACTTGAAGCTCCTCAAGAAATAACATATGGTAGATATGGTAAAAACGCAAATGCAGCAAGGTCAGGAAGCTCACCTGAAGTTGCTGAAAAAAATCTTCTAAAATTGTGTTAATCTGATTTTCATCATACAAACAGCTTTCTTCAGATATTAGACCATTATCAAAACTTCTTGAAGGAGAACATAAAAACAATCACCAGATATCCCAAGGGAAATAAATAATGGATATATCCCCTTCTATTTTCTAACTTTTGGAGATACTGAAACAGTTACATCATGAATTTATGAGATAAAATGTGAACTTTGATTTAAAGGAATTCATTTCAAAGATTTAGACCTGTGAATTCTGAATGGGGCTTTTCTCCTGGACTAGTGTGCACAGTTCCTAGGATTGAATGAGGCTATGATCCTGCCAAGTCTCCTTGGTAGATGAACTGGATGCTGATCTCCCTGCAGTACACCTTAGACACAGGTGAGAAAACAGAGGCCAAGCAGCAACCTTGGGTTGCAGGCAACTCATTTTAACTGCAGTCGGAGATATCGGACCAGAGACCAGCTTCAATAGATCTTTAAGGTGGCGTCGACACCATCCAGAGTGGACTCTCAATTAACTTACTAGTGCAAAGTTTGGGAGAATGGAAGATACATCATCCAAGTTCCCTTCATTCCCCTTGAACCATGTGCAAGCATTATGTTTGGACAGCTGTATATCTAAGTGACAATAAAAAAGACCTTATACTGACTGCAGACAAGCAAAACTCTTCCAACTTAATAATTCATCCTGTCTGTTATCCTGATTATTCAATTCAGTACAAATATAGATTTTTCAGACAATACAGAATTCAAATAAGCCACATACACATGTAGTTCTACCAAATACTGTCACACAGACAAGGCAGTAGGGAATTTATCAAACTAAGAATGCAGCAAACTAGAGTAGTAGAAGAATCCTAAAAACAGAAAGAAACCCCAACAGTGCATTCCTGAAGAAGCTACGCAGAAAGGTCCCTAAAACACATGTCTGATGAAGCAGAGGACATAAGGAGCTCTCCATTTTCTCTTCTTAGAATCTTTATTTCTCCTGTCTTTTCAATCCTATCAGATTCCCAAATGCACCGTTTATATTTCTTCCCCATAACACTTTGGCTAAGGACAACATGCCTCTTAACTTCCTTTTAGTCATTGGATTATTATGACTTCAAGAATAAGGGGAAATGCTATCAAAACATAGGAGTAATCAAAAATGATCTTTTAGTTTTCAAATTTTGTAACTTGTCTGGTTTCTTCCAGCAAAACCCAGAGGGGACTCAGTGAGTGTTCTGTTTATTGCGACCTCAGCACGGAGGTAAAGTGCTGTCCAATGTGCAGGCTTCCCTGAGAGGTGGTAATCGTCCATGTTCCTTTCTATAAATGTTCTAGATATTTGTTCTTCTCCAGATAACTGTTCATTTAAGCTGACTGATCTAAAGCTAGTCATGCCAAATTTTGGGGATTCCATCAATTTCTGAAGCAGACTAATTAAGGACTATAAATGACCCAAGTTCCCACTTTCAGCAGCTAAATGGGATGGTGATCATTTGTTTTCACACAATATTATGTGTCTGCATTTGTCTGTGTGTTTATCTAGGGGTTTCGGTGGGGAGTTCAAAATAGTACAGACCAATTACGTAGAATTTGCAAGATGTATTATATATTATTTTAAGAAATTTTTCCTTCTCTGGGTTCTCAAATGTCAAGATTAAAGTTAATAAAGATTAAGAAAAATAAGAAAGTGTTAGAAGTATTCTTGATTTTCACTACATCTGAGGCAGGAAAGTCATTTGTGAATAACAGTTCTGAAAGAGAGAAATAGAAATCTCACCATCCATATAAAGTCCCTGCAGCCCCCAGGCTAAAACCATAGTCCCAGCATTTAAAATTTCTTGATTTTTTTCCTTTGTGGGAATTGCTTTTTTACAAAATTACCTGAACTGGTCTTATTGGAACACAAATAAAATCCATGGGGTAAAATTGAGGGGCGATTCCAGGTAACTAATGTTTTGTTCTCAGATACATTCGCACACGAAACTATACTGGGTTTCTCTGGAACTGTTAAAAAAGAAAGAAAAAGAAAAAAGTTACAATGAAAAAATAAGATGCTGAAAAAATAGTATTTACATAACAAGCTGGAATCACTAACAGCCATCTTTTGACTGATTGTGAATTAATAAATCTCAGTGAAGTAGTGTGGGAGAATGGTCTGTATTCTGTAAATTATATTTTAAATAAACAGTGATTGGCCAGTAGCCAGGCAGGAAGTATAGGCAGGACAACCAGACAGGAAGTAGAGGTGGGTCAATGAGAATAGGAGAATTCTGGGAATGAGGAAGCCTATTCCTCTGCAGTTCTGATCCATCCACAGAAGAAGCAAGATGTGATTGCCTCACTGAAAAAGATACCGAGTCATGTGGCTAACACAGATAAAAATAATGGGCTAATATAAGTTATAAGAATTAATAAGAAGCCTGAGCTAATGGGCCAATCAGTTTATTGTTAATGTAGACCTCTGTGTGATTTTCTTTGGGACTTAACAATTGCAAGAACTGGGCAGAACAAGAACTGTGCAGGACAGAAACCTCAGATAACAGCGAAGTCCTTAGATTTCTACTGTATTCTTTAGATAAGGTTTCTTTCATAGAGTCTAGTTTGTTCTAATACAGCGGTAGGAAATCTAGTATCCCACTTATTTGAGTAATAGCTGAGAATATTCTCTTCTCACGAATGTTGTTGTTCGGATATTTTGATATTTTAAGATATTGTGTGAAATCTTTCAAACAAAACCAATGATACTTGCTTAAGGTGTAGCTTGATGAATTATGGATGTATGCATCTATGTGCTACTATCACAATACAGAACCTTTCTATTGTCCTTCTATGTCACTTAACAGTCAAAATGAGCCCCTTTGAGACACCACATATTCTATTTACTTTCTACTGCTATAGATTGAATACAACTTTGTTTTTATTATACATAAATAGAATTAAACAGTAATGTTTTCACAAATTATATTGGTTTTAATATAGCACTTGAATTTTTTACACATCATAACTGTGCCTTTTTAGTCATGAGTAAGGCTATGGCTTGGATGTTGAATGTCACAGCATGTCTTGGTGGGATGTTGGAGAAGTAAGACCTAGTGCAAAATCTTTGGGTCATTAGAAACACACCCTCAAATGGAATCAAGGGTCCCCATCCTTCTCTTTTCTTTTTCCTTATTGATACAAGAGATGAGTAGTTCCCTTCAAGATACATCCCTACCACTCATTGTCATCTGGTGTCCCTACCAGAGACCTAGTGCTACAGAGTCATCCAGCCCTGGTCCAAAATTTCCAAACTCAGGATCTAAATGAATATTTTATCTTTATGTGATTACTGTCTCATTAGAGCAAGGAAAGACACGAAATATTATTTATTAACTTATGTCATAATTTCTCTATTACTAAACACTTGGTGGCTGTTTGACCTCTTTCCAAGACCACATACGTATGCACACATCTACTTTTCCTCGCAGATATAGTCTGTCTTCCTATGTTGGGTTGAATTTCTATATTCTCATCAATAATGTTGTCAGTCTTTTGTTAGTGGATGTGTATACAATCTCCATCTTGATTTGACTTTAATTTTTCAGATGGCTAATGAAGTTGAGCCGTTTTTCCATGGACTCAGTCACCATTTGTATATCTTTTGCTAAAAGCATAGTCAAAATGCTTCCCTGTGTTTCAGGAATATTTGGTGTCTTGTTTTGTAACTGAAAGGTTTTTCTATATATTTTGGGAAATTGTCCATGTCAAATATAAACAAATCATGGCTACTTTTCCACAGTACACAATATATATGTTATTTCATTCAATCATTTCAATGAGACAGAGTATTATTCAACTATGAAGTCAAATTTAGAGATCATTTTATGATTCTTGCTTTATTTCCAATAAAATACAAGTAGTATCTCACATGGTTTTGATTAGGTACTTCATAACTTTAGCTTTTATAGCAGTGGAACATTTGTATGTGTTGAGATCCAATGGCTGATGGCCATTTGATATACTTGCTCTATAGGGATACTAAAACAGTTAACTGTCATGACTTGTATTTTATTAAATATAAACATTGTTCTTTTTAAGATTCCCTATTATATTACACTGATTTTAAAAAGTTGGACTTATCTTGGTTTGTTTATTTACTTATTTGTATAACTGTGTCCATATGTGTCCATGTATGTATGTGTGTGCACCTGTATATGTGCATATCTTCTACCATATGCATCCTATGAACAAGTTCAGGTCTTCAGGCTTGGCAGCAAGCAATTTTACCCACTGAACAATCAGCCTGACCTCACTCTAAGTTTTTAGTACCTAAAATGATACTAAACCTGTCTTCCTACCCTGCAGCTTTCTTTGCTCTTGGTATATATGCACTTTGTTATTGCTCTGGTTGTTTTCAACAACAGGATTGCTTGCATCTCAAGCAAGCCTTCCCACACTGTGCAGGTCTCACTCTTCAACCTGTCATCATCCTACTTCAACCTCCCAAGCAGCTATGCTGGGATATCTACCATAATACCTAACTTTCTGCTTCTCTCTCTCTCTTTCTCTGCCACCTCCCTCTCTCCTACCTTCTCTCCCTCCCTCTCCCCCCCTTCTTTCTCCCTTTCCTATTGCTTCTCTTCTCCTTTTTCTCTACTGATATATACAAATATTTTTTCTAGAAATGTCTCTACTGTTTGTGAGCAATGATACCTTGTCATAGTTGATTATTCATTCATCACCATAAAAATTAATATTTACCAGCAAATTTTACATTTAATTGGGATTTATCTCTTCTCTCTTTCCAAATGCTGTTAATTTCAGAGCCCCTTTCCATTTGTTAAGTTTTATCTTGTAATTAATTATAATGCAAAAATTTGGTAGCCACAGTTCATATCTTATACTTCACACTTAGATTTGCCTGAATTATACTGGTCAATTTGTTTACTTCACTCTTCTGTCAGAATCAGGACATGTCTGGGGGGAGATGCATAAGAACACAGACTGAAGGGTGTTCTAAAAGGGAGGGCAAAGGAAATGAAGAAAGTAGGAATGATCCATGTCAATCATCTCAACCCTTTCCAGCAGTCTCACAACATATACAATTAGAACAACAGAAAGAACAACTTTAAGTTTGTAGAATTTACTTTTAAATTCACCTTAAAATTCGTTTAAAATTTTTCTTCTCTGATATGCTTTCTGCAACTCTATACTATTATTTTCTGTGATTTCCCAAATAATGTAAGCCCAAAGAAGAAACAGAAATTCTGTTTATCTTATAAATGTAAGCAATGTACTCACTCCCCAAATCGGTCTCCACAGTTTTGTTTTCCTGGAGAAGTGTCACACTGTTATATAGGACTTCTGCAGCACATGTGTAATATGTTTGGGGTTTAAGTCCGGGTAACAAAATTATTGGAGAATTTCCTTGTGAATCTGCAAGAAATAAGTATTGCACGTGAGCATATGCAGTGACACATAGTGTATGGCCTTCTTTCCTGACACCATTTTTTTAAGACTTACTGTTGGGGTGAATCCTCTGCAAATGGTGGAATAATAAGCTCAACATCTCGCAAATAGCAATACTGACTCAACTTTGTTGAGAAATCAGGACGACACCTCACTGAGACTTTGCTTAAGAAGTTTTAGATTTTTAAAATTGATAGCTCATAATATACTGGTTCCTGCTTTGGACACAATGCTTGAAGCCTAGCCTAGCAACTTCTCGTCGTTGGCACGAGGATGACAATCAGGGCCGTGCATTCCTTTTCTGCCCCTTCTGCCTCTGCATGTGTACACAGAGGGCCACGTGCATCTCTCTGCCTTGCCAAGTGTGTCCTAGCAAGCGGCTTGATGCCAAGATGGAACAGAGTCTATCTCACTGAATTCAAATACTTCTAAAAAGAAACTCTGCTTCATTAGGAACCCAAATTCCTTCCTAGAAGCACTTGTTTTCCTTGTTCCCTCCATATTCTTGAACTTGCAAATGATTTTCATTGATGAGAGTCAGAAAACGTAACCTCTGGACTTAGATAATACCATGCTTCCTTTCTACAAAATATGGACATCATCATTCTTTTATAATTTCCTCATCTTATCATCCTTTCAATGATGTCTGGCATATAGCAGTAATCAAAAACATTCAATTAATTAATTTTCAAATTTTTTCAATAGTTACCATCCATGGTTGTTGGGGTTTTTTTTTCTATTTTGTGAATTTGTTTGAGTGACAGATACTGGAGTTATTGTATTCTAATTTACCACAGACCACTGAGAGTCAGGGGAGGAGGACAAGTGTATATACAGAAAGAACATTTAAACCATGCGTGATGATAGAATTTCTCTACTCGGTACCTTACCTGCAGTATCATTACACTGAAATTTGTATGTAATTTTTGTGTTGTTACAGGCAGAGGGCTTTGTTTTCCACTCCAAGCAAATTGTAGTATTAGCATATATTTGTTCTGTGCAGTCATGCAGGGTAAATTTCTCAGTTCCTGTCAAGAGAACAGAGAAGTGTCCTTAGGTTACACCCCTGGTATGAAGGTGTGGTACCGACTATAGACTCTGAAATCACACCCATGAAGTCCAGTTTTAAAAACATGAGGTTGCATTGGGAGAAGCCTAATAACTCCCTGGGCTTGGTGCTCCTTGATTATTTAGTTCACAATCCTAATATTTATTTTTTCTTTGTTTCAGTTGACACATAATTCGACAAATTTGCATACTGTATGGGGTTTGGATATATCTATACAATACATACTTCCCAATTACAGACAGTCTGTCTATTACCTCAGACATTTGCCATTCACTAGGGAAGACAGCATATTTTTTGCACCACATATTTTAATAGAAATGTGTGCTGTTTTTCAATAGAATCCACACCGCTTTTATAAATGAAACTCAAGGAAAAGATAGATAAAATAGCTGATTTTTCCCATTTGAAAAAAATTCTTTGAGGTTTTGATACTTGTTTGTTGGTCTGTTTTGAGTTTTTGGAGATACAGTCTCGTCTTGTAGCTCAGTCTAGCTTAGAACACACTATACTAGCCCAGGCTGATGTGAACACAGAAACTGACCTTCCACATGCTGGAATTACAACTTTGATATTAACATAACTAAAACTCTCCCTTTGCTTTTTTTTCAAAAATATTAGATATTTAAGTGTGTTCTTTTCACTGATATATATATGTATATATATATATATGTATATATATGTATATATATATATGTATATAAGAAACTTCTGGCAGGGGGAGTGGAAAGGGACAAAAAAGAACATTTTGAATTTAAAAAGAAAACCTAGAAATCTCGTTTAATTATTTCACAAAATAGGCTGTTTATAATTCAAAGCAACCCCTTTTTGTTGTTTGCGTGTGTGCTTGTTTTGTTTGTTTGTTTGTTTTATTTTGAGAAAGGGTTTCTCTGTATAGCTCTGGAACTTGCTCTGTAGACTAAACTGGCCAGGAACTCAGATCCACCTGTCTCTGCCTTCCTGGTGCTGGGATTAAAGGTGTGCTTCACCACTGCCCAGCTAGGAACCTTTTTGTTAAAGAAACAAGACAAGCAGGTGATGGTTCTAAAGAGTAAGTATGTAATTCTTCATGCTCTCCAGGGTTCTCAGCAGGAAACTCATTCTTATCAATGCTGACTTGCTTTCTCTTGGGTCTTTTCTCTAACCACATTAGCCCCCAGGCACACCATAACACACATATGAAATCACACTGATAGAAATACACAGATAGAAAGAAATTGACATTCACCTGGTGGTACATCTAGTTCTATAATTTTAGCTGGAGTACATGAGCTATCAGATACACTGAAATTTTTCTTTGAGCATTCTTGTAGATATTTAAGCTCTTTACAATCCACAGTTCCACATAGGTCTTTGGGGGGATTGCCATATTCTGGCTTTGCCTCAAAAGTCTTATTACTACTGTTATATTCGTAATGAACAGTAATGTCCACAAATTTTTCATCTGGAAAGAAAAAAGAAAATTAGTATTATCACTATTCAGAATGAATGAGAATACATTGGATAAGAATGCCTTAACATACTCTTTTGTGCAGAGAAAGATCTGCAAAAGAGTGAATTTATTAAGTATGCAACAAACAGAAGTAAAAGAACGATTGGCAAATATCGAATAAAAGCAGCAGATAAGACACCAAAATATCACCAAATCAGGTTATAGATTTTGATACTATATCCTTTGGAATATGTAAGATATAAGAAAATTATTATGTACCCCATGTCATTATTACATAATTCCTTTTTCTGATGAAGGTCCCAGTTTATGCTGAGATGACTGTTGGATTGACATCTGTCTTGCCTAGTAAACTGCAAAGTCCATCAGAGCAAAAGCTAGTCTATTTCAATCTTCATCATCAGTTCAGGTTCATGATTATATACCTGACTGTTATTAGCAAGAATTTGATAATTACTTGTTGAATTGACTGACAGACAAGTTTATCTGCTTATGAACCCATATGCAAAAAAAAAAAACCCTTCTGGCTTTATAACTACTCTTATTTTTTAAAATGTCCTTATAAATCATTTAGTTCTCCTGTCATGAATTATTCAGAGAACAAAAGTTCTCACTCATTGCATTACATATATTATATTATTATGCATAATAATAAATTCTTCATAAACCTTTTGGCTAGTGTCAATAATTTCCATTGCCTGGTAAAAATTTCTTTTAAACAACTATTAATTTTTATACATATTTTAAAATTCTTTTCTGTGTGTATGTGTGTTTGTGTGTCTGTGTACATGTATGTGTTCATCTGTGCATGTATGTGAAGGAGTGAGCATACACATGGGTGCATTAGCATGGAGACTGGAGATTGACATCAGGCATCTTCCTCTATTTCTTTTTGATTTAATTTTATGGGTCTTTCTCTGATGGAGCAAGAGTATCAGGCCAGCAGACCCAAGGATCATCTTACATCCACCCCAGCAATAGGATGGCAGGCACCTGCTACCAAGCTCACTTTTTAACATGGGTATTGGGGATCAGAGCTCACCTCCCAGTGGTTGCATGGCAAGCACTTTACCCTCATCTTTATAGCCCCTATTTACTTGTTTTTATTTTACAAAACTATATGCCCTTTGTCTTAAACACTAGGAGTACAAAGACAAATCAAATGAAATTGGTTTTTAGAAAAGCAAAGTATTAAATTGAGATGGACACAGACTGAAACAAGAGTTAAGCAAAGACATAAAAATAAGATGAGACAGGATAAAAGACCAAAAAGAGACATCTATTCAGATTGGAGGACAGGAAGAACTCCAGATGATTTGGATTGATTTTTTTCAAGTATGAGCAAGGTGTCAGAAAACAAATGAAGGAACCAAAATAAAGAGGTATGGAAGGGCCCCAAGGGCAGAAGAAGAAAAGCAGGGAATATACAGTCAGGAGTAAAGAAACATGCAGCACCATATGACTCAAGGCAAGAGTATAAGTGAGGAGGTGGTCATGCAGAGGGAGAGGAAAGGGACTTGAGCTTCAGACATCATGATAAGGAAACAAACCAATGGAGGTTGACCTTGACTCTGAGTGAATGGGCGCATAACTGCATGCTGAGTTTCAAGCAGATATGGAAGGGTAACACTGGCCATGAAGAATAACCACAAGGAGAGGAAGAACATGAAAAGTAGTGACTCACTATAGAGAGTTGACCATGAGAGATAGAAATAGTGTGTGCTAAGTTTGAAAGCTTGGAAGAGAGAAGTGACTGAAATAATGTTCCCAAGTGACTGAGGCTGTCTTTGGGTCAACAAACTTACCACAAGGTTTGGGTCTCGTAGTAGCTGTAATAGAGATGAAAAAAAAAGAGACAAATTATTGACATGTTATTTTAGAATGTGTCTGTTCTGTTCATCTTTGAGAATCTGCTTCATAGACTTTCTGTAAACTGGAAAGTCTACCTGCTTAGGCTTAACAATAATGCAATTTGCTTAATATCTTATTTTCACCTCAGATATGCAAATGTTATAAACTAATGAGATAACTGTAAATCATCTTAATTAACATATACAATAAACACAACTGTGACTGTTATTATATGTAGACTTTTGGGTACAGATCTGATACCAGCATGGGACAGGACAAAATCTAAAAATTGCCAACATATTCTAAGTCTTCATTCACTTCGTTGGTGTCAAACTGCATTGCCATAGTTATAGCCCTTGTAAAGCAATGCTCTGTTTTTGTTTTTCCTTTAAATCAGATGATATTAATAAAGACTGATTTGCTCCCAGGTTTATCCTCTGTATGCTTCCCACACCCAAGATCGAGGGTAGCTAATTGATCTCACAGAAATGATTTTGTATTAATCCTTGTATTAATATATGCATTTAACTCAGAGATTTTCAACCTTACTAATGCTATGGTCCTTAATACTGTTCTTCATGTTGTAGTGCCTCCAACCATAAAATTATTTTTGTTGCTACTTCATAACTGTAATTTTGCTACTGTTATGAATCATAATGTAAATATCTAATATTCCTGATGGTCTTAGGTGACTCCTGTAAAAGTGTCCTTTAACCTCCAGGATGAGAATCACTGATTTAACTGAAAAAGTGGGAGTCTGAGTCTTTGGAAGCAAAAGGACTTCTGCTAAACTTCTCAAAGTTGGAAGAATCTGGGGATCATGGTGGGCTTGCCATCACTGGCTTCATGATCCCAGGCAATGTCATTGCCACAGATCTTCCAGGAGGTGTCTCACCTTCGTCTTTATGCTCCTCAGTAACTGACTGAAAACGGCATCAGTCCCCTAGCTCCTCTCAATGGAAAGGGTAGAGGCTTTGATAAAATTACTCATCGTACACTATAAATGCTCCCCCCAAAAATTAAGTTCTAACAGACTTGGCTATTGCTTATGTGGGTTCTCATAAATGCCACGACTCTTTGTAGGTATGGCAGTGATGCTATAGGTTCGTGGTCCCAGCTACAAATGTGCTACACTAGTGTCTAGATTCTGAAAACCAGAGAGCCTGTGAGGACATGCCCAACAGTGGCAGAGGTGTGCCTGTGTGACTGGAGGTAAGGTTGTCACCTATTGTGCTGCTTGCAGTGACAGTGCTTGAAAGGTTCTGAATGGATGATTCAGTGGCTGTAAGGGTGGCACCTGCAAGGAAATGAACAAAAGGATAAATGTTAATGAGCTTATTATCTTGAAGCTTGAGGAAAAGCTCTTTCCTGAAGATAATTTGCTGAGTGATTCTTTCCTCATTTGAACTGATACTTTCCAAAACAGCAAAGTGAGTCAAAAATTGATATATGAATTGGTTCAGAAAACACACATTTCAAGTAAGTGTTACTATTTTATTACAACTTAAAGAGCAAGTTATAATAACTCCTTAGTATAATTCTTACCTGAAAAACAATATTCCCATTTTCCTCAAACTCGTATTTTCTATTGAATTACAGCTTTCCTTATTTTAGATACGAATTAGACTAATTAGACCTGTGGAATGTATAGTCTTCAAATCAATTTTATGAAATGAGTTTAGTAGGGCCACTTTCGTGAAAAGGAAAGTGAGTTACTTGTCCCACATTATCTAGAAACCTGAGGCAACTGTATTTGATAACAGAGCTACAGGCCACTGATGTATATTATCCACTTCTTTGTCATGAACTCTACAATAATAATAGTAAAACTGCACTTATCCCCCAAAAGTTTCCTCACAAATTTCTTTTGGCTAATTTCTTATCGAGATGATATTTTTTTACAGATGGGAAATCTGAAAACAGTATTGGGAGTAAAATAAGAGCTACATTCAAGTTTGGAGCCTCCGTAGCCAAAAACATATACCAGATAATGGTCAGACCTGAGGAGAAATCTGTGGTGCTGATGTTGGAGGTGTGTGCAGGTGAGGCAGCAGAGCTGTTGAGTGCAAGGGAGTGGGTGACTGTAGGATGGGCTGTATCTGCAGGAGAGGTCCCCAGTGCAGCCGTCGCCCCTGGCACACCTGTAATCAGAAGGGTCACCAACACTGTCACTCCGTCATGCCACATGCTGACATGGATATGATTGTAGAACTAAGACAGAGGAATGAGCTATCTGGTATACCTACTGCAATTCAATGTATAACCAAGCCCTAACTGTAACCCTAACCCATCACATAGTCCTAATTCCATAGACTGTGCTGTCAATATGAGAACTTGCCAAAAGAAGAACTCAGAGACAGACACATAGAAACCTGTACGAGAGCCGGGCGGTGGTGGCGCACGCCTTTAATCCCAGCACTTGGGAGGCAGAGGCAGGCGGATCTCTGTGAGTTCGAGACCAGCCTGGTCTACAAGAGCTAGTTCCAGGACAGGCTCCAAAACCACAGAGAAACCCTGTCTCGAAAAACCAAAAAAAAAAAAAAAAAAAAAAAAAAGAAAAAAAAAGAAACCTGTACGACTTGGGTATCAGTTGAGAGAAAACAAACAAAAATAAACAATTTGGGCTTTGGGAAATATCTTGGTTATCCCAAGGAGGTCCAACCTCCCAGTCAAATGTTGCCTTACTTGCTATTAAAAATATTTCGGAAGGAAGGGAAGGACGATGTCTTGGAGATGAGAAGGCAGAGAGTCAGCACGAGTCTGAATATAAAAGGGTTGCCTCCATAAGATTGTGTGGGAGATAGCATGCCTAGCACCTGCTTAGAGTCTCAGGTGGCTGTGCCACTCTGGGGAGGGAAGCCCTGTGTGCAGGTGCTCAGTGCCAGTTTCCCTGAATTTGAGCTAAATGGTCTCCTGCCTGCACAGCAGCTGAGCCCCGGGCTTTGTATCCTGATTGGCTTCTGGTCACAACATTTCCGAAGCAGGCTCCCACGCCAGGAAGGTATCAGATTGGTTTTCTATCAACACACTGCCCATTTTGCTGCTATCATCTCCTCATTTCCTGAGTTTTGGCGGAGCGCCAAGTGAGGTAGCTAAAAGGACTGCACGTCCTGCTTAGAATTTCAGTGTCAGGCTTCAGGGCATTTCCCGCTTGTTACATGTTTCCCCCAAACATCGCAGTCGGAGCTCATTACCCATCCAATGACCAGCACTGTGCTAGCTGTCATGGAGAAAGCAACAGAAAACGTGAGCTAGCTCCTACCGGGGCTCTTGCCTGAGGACTTCCCTGTCAAGATCTCCAGGTTCAGAATGGGAACTTGGCCTCACATGTGAGGTCAGTGTGTGAGGGTTTCAGTGCACGGTGCTCTGTTTCATCAGTGGCCTGTGAGTGTGACCTGAACTGCTTTGCTGAAAACATGCCAAACATCTTCCATTTGCAGATGGATTGAATCTGTAAGTTGTCGCACACATGGTTTGGGAGATGGGAATGAGTTTCCTTGCCAATTGAGTTTGTTCTTGGGCTACTCTTCAAACACCCCTGAACTCTCCCGGCTGTAAGGAAAGCATGGAGTGGAATGACGAGGGAGCGCCCACCTACTAGTTCCAGAAATAAGGGAAGGATTCGATCCACAGTAAAAGGAGAGTAGGAAGGGTTGTGAATTCAGCCTTTTCAAGTGTCATTTCGACACAAACTGGACACCCGAGGAATCCCCAAAGCAGCTGGCTCTGCTTATTAGACTTCCACCTTCTTTACTGCTTCTCCCTCTTTCTAGACCCTTCTCCCTGCTGACCACCTCTTGTGCCTCTGATGTCGAGAGACCCCACTCAACTGTCTTCAGAATCCCTAGCTTCTGCCTTCATTTGAAAACTACGTTTTTCTTAGTAAGTAGGCAATCCCTCGCCCCCGCTTAAGAATGGCATTTACCGTTATAATTACATTGATTGCACAGAGTAGACCTTCTAATTAGTGAAATTAGCCAATGTGCCAAGAAGATTTATTTGCTCACGGTAGAGCAGGCTGGTTTGTGTGGCTAGCAGCCCTCAGAGTGGGCTTCTGTTCATGGCTTCTTCCCTTCCCTGCTGTCTAAGTCTTTGCATTTGCTGAAAAGCACCAGCCCCAATTTGCTCTACTGGAGCGACGGGATCAGACGAAGCCACTCCATGCATTGTTTGAAGTGTGCGCACTGCTCGTAATGGTGTTTTAGGCCAAGGGACCAGTATTAGTGTTTCAAAATAACAATTACTGTGTGTGGACTTGACCTCAGTGCTGGATTTCATTCTGCAGCAAGACTTTTTCCTGCCAGCCAGCAGGTCTCTGTTACATCTAACTCATGGCCAAGCCCTCAGGCCACTGAATGTATATGTGTGATATTATAGAATAGTGACCTGAAAAAGGACATACTTCTCTTTGTCCCATATAAAAGGACACCATGAAGTTATTTAGACTCTGGTTTGGGAGAAGATAGGAAAGGATATGTTGCATTGTTTTAAGAACAGATAAGAAAAAGGAATCTTGAAGTCTGCATGGGAGCATCTATTTCCCCTCTTCTCACTCCCTAAATGATAGACAATGACATTATGGTAATTAGTTTTCAGTCCACCTTTATATAAGAAATCTTTCATTCCTGATAGATGTTTGTTGGCTCAAGGTATTAAGAATTCACATATATCAGTCTTTATTACTAGAGAATGAAGTCTTCACAAACTGTAACTGCAAGTGCAGAAACAAGGAACATTGCCATAGCCTCCATCCCCGAGCAGTATTTCATCTCTGTCAGAATAACCTTTGCCATCTGGTTTTGCAGCCTAAGAATAACCATAGCATCTAATTCCTCAAGTGGCAAGTGTTCCACATTGAACAGGTGGCCATGGCACCTCGCACCATTCTTGAGAGGAGGCGACTGTCCATACTCTTTATATCTGTGCATGTCTAAAGGGCACCAAACCTGGTGAGGCAGGCCTACCCGAAGTAGGCATGAGTGTGGGGGTATCAGCCTGGTTGCTGAGTGTCTGGGTGTCAGTTCCTCCGGCAGAGGGCGTCTGCAGGTGAGGCAGCGGCGTGGATGCATGACCTGAGGTTAGAAAATGAGATGGTTAAGTCAATCTCTGCTGCTCCTGGCAATTTAAAAGCCCTGAGAAAACCACCCGGAGCAAAGTTGCCACAGTGTGAGGTGACCCGATTTATTAATCTTTTGATGTTTCCTGGGCAGAAAAGTGTCTCCTGGGTTCTTGGTTACAGATTCCTCCCCAAGAAGATGCACATGCCCAGCTTAGTTCACTGACTCCCGATCCCTGAAAGGTTCTCTGACAGCTCTGCAGACTGATGCTGGCCAAAGTCTGCCTTCATAGACAGAATAGTAGAGAACTCCAAAATTCTAAAACATACTAAATTATTGTTTACAGACTCGCGAAGGAAAAGAAGGATAATGTTTAAACATGTATGATAGCCGAAACATATTTGAAAAGATGCTTATCACTGTGAAGTATTGCAGAAATGTAAAATCAACAGGAAGCATTTAAATTGCCCTACTAGCAGTTTCAACAGATTGATAATATCCAGCCTTGGAAAAATTGTGGAGATAGTCAGGCATGCATGCTTACATATACATGAATTGAATTACATCTGAAAACTACTGATCGATCCTGAATAAAAATTATACAACTTTCCTCAGCATACCATTGAAATATCACTAGATAGCAATTCCATTCTAGAAAAGAAAATATACTCTTTTGTTTGGAAGAATATAAAAATTTTCAAGCAAATCTCACCATCAAATTGTGCCAAAAAATATTTGATATTACTCATCCTTAATCCCAGTTCATCTCCCTGTCCCACCCCCTGCAGCCTTTTCCTGAGATGGTCAATCTGAAACCCTGTGTGTGGTTTTAATGTACTGAAAGTACACCGTGTGCATAAAGGAGAGATGCTGCATATGTGTGTCTTGTGTGTATGAAATGAGACTGGAAATGGAAACATGTGTGTCATCACATGTTCTACCCAAGCCCAGTGGCCTTTGCCCTTACACTAACATGGGCATTGAACCATCTGTTCTGAGGTGCACACCGGTTCTAAGAGACCACTCAGCTGGTGGCAAGGATAAAGATGAGTTACGTACGAAGTCCTGCGTTTGCTAACAGAGTTGCTCACTGAAGTTAACTGCTTCCTTACTAGCAGGCGTGCTCAGCATCGTCCTTGAGACTCTGTGTCGGTGCTGCGTATGCCTGTCACTTATTTAGACCAGGATAAATGGTTCTGGTAGGCAGGAGACTCATTCACTGTCTTAGAAAGCATGTTTGGAAGCCTATTCGTCTAAGAAAATGGCATCACTGATGGGATTCCAGAAACATGTGCACAGCTTCCTGGCTGGCAAGTCTCAACTCCCACTCCTGATGGTTACTTATAAACATAGCTGCAGGACCTTAAATTCCACGACTAGATTTCCCAATTCTGTTTTCCTTCTCTTTTAAGAATTGAAATAATGCAAATATCGCTGGAAAAAATTCACCACCCCAAACTGAATTCTCTGAGTTGATTGTTAAAAATAGTTGCCCATCTTCAGTATTTCTGATCATGTGAGCCTAGAATGAAACTAAGAAATGGGAATAGCCCACTTCGGAGGAACTGCAAGGAAGTCTAGGAGCAGCAAAGCAGAAGTGTCACCCGCCCAGTGCAGCAGGAGGCTATGGTCAGTCCCTGGGCAGCTGTGGACACACAAGGACAACAGAGAGCCTTCCCTGGCTTTACTTACGGGATCATCTTCCCTTAGCCCCTTTCCATCTAAAGCGTCATGTCTGAGCTCTTTCCCCTCAGCAACCTTCACAGATGCCTACTACCTCCTGCACTTTACTTACCTGACGAAAACTGAATGCGTAGAAACTGTATGTATTACTTAAATTTTAAAAATTTGGTCACCCTAGAAAGTTTTTAAAGGGCAAATTCATCTCCAGTATCATTTTGGTTAGGGATGGCTGTGTGACAACCTTTCGTGATAAGAATATCAACATCATCCAAGTTTCTGGGTCAAATGGTCACCTGGAAAATAGGTGGTCTCTGAGGAGCCATTCTCTCTTTCAGAGATGCTTGAGGGTGTGAGGTCAGTGGTGTGGGCAGGTAAAGGGGTACTGTGAGTCAGAGGAAGGGTCTTCTCTGATGGGTTCGGTCCTGCTACGTTAATGGGTGATGAAAGAGAACAAACATGTGAATCATGTCCCAAAATGCCCACTCATATGCATGTACTAACATATATGTAGTACATGCATATAATGTCCCAATGCCACACACAGGGATCAGGCTTACACACACACACAGACATACACACACATACACACTGGCATAAATGCACACATACTTACACATACATACATACACACTATGTAAAAATATACACATAGAGAAATATATATATATACATCACACAGTTATCTATATTCAGGTATACACACATATGAACATATGCACACATACCCATACCCATTCAAATACACATACACATTTATCACCATATGTCTATAGATTTTAATAATGCATACACATTATAGATACAAATTATATAATAAGAGTTAAAAATAAAATTGAGGAAATGGACTCAAAAGGAACTCCCCTTAGCTCACTTCTCATTTAATTGTTGGGTAGCTACCAAAACCAACCTGATTCAGAAGACTGTAACCCAGTGAGTAAGATGTCTAACGGAAATCTGAAAATACTTACAAATGATAAGTAACCGTGGAAAAGGCTAAAGCCAGAAATGAATTGTTAGGAGACTTAGGATTCAGAGTGGGAAAAATATGAAAAGTCTAGATGAATCAGGTGGACTGGTCATACCCGCAGCTCCATCTTTCAAAAGGCTGAGGCAAGGGATTGCAAGTTTTAGGTCAATTTGAAATACATAAAAAGTTCCTGTCTACAAACAAAATTTTATGTATGTGCTGATTCAATAAATAAATAAATGGAAACAAGGAGAGTTATGTGGGTAAAGTATGGAAAACAAAATTCACAAACACAAGTGTGAATGACCTGTTTTTATGAAAATATCCAAACGTGTTTGACTTTGTAAGTAGACACATGGTACTGAAATGCAGTTGTTCTCACTCACTGTTTTACAGGAGTGATGGGGCAGGAGGGAGTGATGGACAAACTTGTGCAGGGTACAGACGGCAGCTGCGGTCTGCAGGGGAATTAACACAATGGAGTAAGTCTAACATTTCTTTGCTTTCCTTTCTTTAAGATGTATTTCTTTTTGTGAAACAACTAACTATATCAAACTTAGTTTTTAAAGCTATCATGTTCTCTTTGAGAATATAAGGGTGCATTTTACCTAAATATATCATGGGTAACATGTATTAACTTCTTTGAATAGTAAAATGTGCATTTTTGAATATCCAGTTTATCAAAACTGGGTTATTTGAATTAGAGGCAAGCCACACGTCTTGTCTTCAGGGTCATGATTCTGACCTAATTGTCTTTCATCCACTATGCACTGAATAAAAAGAAGAAAGGACTAGATAAAAAGAAGAAAAGTGGAAGGCAGAAGGGAGATTCAGAAAGGTGTTCAGAGAAGTTACCTCATGTAGAAACATTAATGTCTTTGCACACACTGAAGTTCAAGTTTCACAAGTTGAATTTACAAATGTAAATTTGCCGATTCTGTATTGTCCTCGAATTCTCACTTTGAACACTCGACATTTCCATCAATTATGTTCCCATTGCTAATAATATCTGGGGGGGTGCCATGCTCCTTTGCATTATGGTTCATAATTCTAACTTCCTTCATCCCAATCTGCTTGATTATGGTTAGTGCAGAAATAACGAAACTCCCAGAAGGGGAAGGAGTAGACTGCCGTCCTATCCCACACCCAGTCCTCTTCTGCAACAATATCACATCTATGTGGCTGAGAGTAACTTGGTATGTTGTGAAGGAAAATGCCGTATTTCACTTAAGAAGTTGGCAAGAACCAACCAGAACCTGCTATACAGGAAGTGCTTTATGAAAACTCTCTGCCATACAATGAAACTATAAATTCTATTATTAAACATTGCAATTTTTTAAAAAAAATGCTTCTCTGTTTAACTCAGGAGTAGGATTAGTTAGTATTAGCATAGTGTTTCAGCATTCGGGAAAACTTACATTGAATGATAAATAATCCCAGGAATAATCCAATTTTAGACTGTGCTACATGTGCTCCATTTGAAATGTGGAGCAAATTAAGTTTAAATCCCTAAATTTAAATTGCTCACCCAGTTGTATTTTGTGGTTTCACTCACCTCCTTAAGACACACTGTCAACCCCATGGTTAGTCAAAGAACAAGCATTTACAGCAATGAGAACATGTAAGGGGGTCAATTTCTCTTTAGCCACCTGCAGGTCAATTCCTCTATAATTTGGCACTTAATGAATTTTAATGTGCTGGTAGCGTCATCATTATTTAAGTTTGCTTTTCTCAAAACTCAGAAGCTTTTAGAAAAAATAACTTAATTTATAGTAGGAAATTTTGCAAACAATTAATACAAAATATCTTAATATCAAACAGATTTTCAAGCATAATTGGGAGAAGGGCAAATGACTCTTGAAAAAATATTATAAAATTAATTTTTACCTATAAGAGAACATTAATTAAATTCTAAATGTAAGCAAATTCTAGAACCAACTAATTTATAAAATACATTAGTCTTTAAGTATTTGTGAAATTGTATTTAGGCTTCCCTCTACTTCCCTAATTCAATTCTTTTTTATTGAACACCAATTTTATACCGTATATTCTGATCATAGTTTTTTATTCATATTCAAAACTTAACTCATGTTGATTCATACAGCTTTTGAATTTATTTACCATGTTGAATTTTAAGGGGGCTAGAAGTTTGCTGTCACTTTTGTCAATTTTAAATAGTTAAAGTTTTATTAAGCATAGTAAATGTAAA